TCGAGGGAGCCTAACCGTCTCCTCCCTCTCCCCCCTCTCCCCAGGGCTGGCTCGCGCTAGCCAAGGCGCGCTACGCCATGGGTGCCAAGTCCGTGGGACCGCTGCAGTACGCGTCCCGCATGGAGCCCCAGGTCTGCGTCCACGCCAGGTGAAGCGCCTGCGAGGCTGGAGGGGTGGGCAGGGTCCGGGCGCGGATTACCAGAAGGCCATCTTGCCTTCCCGTCTTTCAGCGAGACCCAGGACGGACTCCAGACTTTCAGGATGGTGACAGCTGGTGCACTGATCCCCGAGGAGGTGGGGCCCCGCGAGGGAGGTGAGCCCCTCTTTCCGTCAGGGCCTCTTTCCAAGATCTGAGACAAAGTGCACCCAATTGAGGAGACAGATTAATTTAGGTTTTCTTCGATAGAGCGAGCACCCTAGAGCTGAACACCAGAATGTCTTAGCAGGGTGATTTTTACTTTAGACTTTTTTTTAAATTAGAAAACATAGTCTATTTAAAAGGTAAGTTAGAGAGAGGGAGAGGAGATTCACCACTCGAAGGTAGGGAAGGGGACGACAGCCATAGCTCAAAAAGCACACAGCCACACCAGCGTCTAGTAAGGCAATGGCCTACCTAACACTTTTGCAGGGAGGATTAGAGAAGTTATAGGTGGATTGCTTTACAGTTGGGATAGTTTTGTATTTATGGAAGTCACAGTCAGCGGAACAGAAAGTGTTTGTCTTTGTGTCTAGCTAGTTTTAGTAGGAAAAACTTCTAATACCAGGCAGGTAATCATCCCTGAGATGAAGAACTGGGAATTTTAGGTCTGAATCTGGTCTTTCTGCACGTTCAGGCAAAATGAATGAGGTCAGCATGTGGCCTTGTCACAGGCAAACGAGGTCATCTGTGGGTCTTATAGGAGTTATGAGAAAGAATGGACAGATAACTCATCTGAATCACAAGGAAAAGTGGTGCTTTGTGGTAAGCTGTTTGCTGGAACACAAATGCTGGAGGGATTTTCCTTCCATCAGTGTTATCCAGAATCACCAGCTCAGATCAAGTTCGGCATTGTCTCCCAGACAATAAAGTCCAGGTGGTAAGATCCTAGTCTCCTCCAGTCTTTCTTTCCCCAGCTCTACGCAGGCGCAAGGGTCCCACTAGAACCCCAGACCCGGAACCCTCCAAGACCCCCCAGGACCCACTGAACTGGTTTGGAATCCTGGTTCCTCACAGTTTACGGCAGGCCCAAGCCAGCTTCCAGGAAGGTGAGTAAACCCTGTCAGTTGGCCATCTGGCACTGGGGTAAATTCCATCCCTCTATCCACAGAGACCACTTGAGCACTAATTCCAT